AATATAAAGTAAGTATACCAGACAGGAAAGCGTGGATAGGAGGACCTCCTATTCATACAGAATTCATCTGGTATACAGACGGCTTCAAAATCCATAAAGGTTCAGGAGTAGATAGTACCAAGCCAAAGACAATAATCTCACTGAGCTTAGGTAAACATGCGACAGTATTACAAGCAGAAATACATCACTGCGCAAAAGAGGTATTAGGACAGAAGGTAAATGGAAAATTCATTGTCATAAACTCAGAGAGTCAAGCGACATTAAAAACAATCAGTTCTATGCAGGTACACTCAAAGCTTATGTGGGAGTGTTTAGAAGCCCTAACAGAGCTAGCTGGTCAGAACGAAGAGGCTGATTTACTAGCTCGAAAAGGAGCCTCTAAGGCTCTTATCAACTATCAGAACATGCACAAAGCAGTGGTTGTTTAAAAAAATCTCAGTAGTGGTGGAACCATCGCCTAAACTCACCGAGCCTTAATAGAAAAAATACTAGAGTACTAGTAGGTCTATTAACAAGGCATTGTAGGCTTAACAAACCTATGTTCAATATCGGTCTGAAAGAAGAGACCTTGTGCCGATTTTGTTAGGAAGAGAAGGAAACTGTAAAACACGTATTGTGCTACTGCGAAGGTCTAGCAAGACTGAGATTCCTTATATTTGGAGAATAAAAATCAAAGTAAACTAGCCAGAGAACTAATTGCTAGTTTATGGAATCTGCTACAAAAGACCGAATTTGATAAGGTAGTCTAAACAACGATTAAAGGATATCCACAATAGATCTAAAAAGGTTGAGGTGGGAGATGCCATATGGCACACAGTCCTAATTAAATCTAATCTTTTGTTTTTTTTATAAAACAAATAGCCATTTTAATAGCCATTTTTTTATTAGTTTAATTTTGACTATAACACCGGATGTATTCGCCTCGTTTTACGCAACAATTTTTCTATAACATGTTTGGTTATTTTCACCTTAATGTTAGTGTACCATGTAGTTTTATCCCCAAGTCCCTAGAGAAAAGTAAAAATGAGTGATTCTTGTGAAGTATCGATAAATATTAACATTTCACAAGATATTTGATTATATTTACAAAAAAAAATCATATTTAATAAAATTATATAAAATCAATTTAATTATGAGTTTTAAAAATAAAAAGTTAAATGTGTCGATGGAATCGAGACGACCTCGTGATCAATCTTCGTCTTCGTGCGCTATAGCCCATCATATGCATATGCACAAACTACTGTTCTATCTCCGATGCTTTTCTTTGGATATAATTCAATGCCTGTTGCGGTATTGGCGAAAGAAGTAGTTGCTTTCCTGAGGGAAACGGTCTCTCCTATTATTATATGACACAGTTATTTTTATTTTACGTCTTGTTAACATTTGAGTTGGATCTTTTTCCTTATTTTAATTAATTATTCTATCAAAAACACTCTCTCCCTTTCAATCCATTTTAATATTTCTTATTATGTGTGTTCTATAGAATTTTTTCATACTTTGAAAATAATTGTTTGGAGAGCTTTAGACCACATTTTTTAACAATTTGTTCTTTGTCAATATGTTTATTGTAATATTGCTTGGAAATAAATTCAATGGGGTAATTTCATTATGTTTGACTGTTTGCGAATTATTACTGAAAGCAGAAATATTTAAGTACGTTAACATAACTTAAATCAATGAATTTCTTTTAAAATATTCTTATCTATCAATTACCATAATATTTATTTTCTATAAATACGAGATTCATGGGGCGTATAGAATTTGAAAAGTATTTAATGTAGGGTATACTTTTTTGAGTACTAATCATATATTATTTTTATAATATAATGGAAATAATTCTAAAATTATCAACATTTCTTGGTTTTTTGGTATAATGGGATTGCTTTCATGAATGGTCGTGAATATTCGTGATACATTTCGGATTATTACGAGGGGTAAACCAATACCAAAATTTTGTACACCGGACTTCCAAACTTCCATGCCTTCTACTTACTTTCCGTAGATTTCTACGGACCTCTATGGACTTTCTTGGACTTCCAGATGACTTCCTCTGATTTAAACATGACTCCAATAACTTCCAAATGACTTCCATTGACTAACCTGACTTCCAGATGACTTCAACTGACTTCCAGATGACTTCACCTGACTTCAGGATTACTTCCAGTGACTTCCACAAACTTTCAGCAGAACAATATAAATAACTGAAGGATTGTTTCGTTTAATTCTGCTTTATTTGATCAGTTTAATAATTCAAGGCTAAAAGATATTAAGTTATGTGGAAGGGTATATTACAAAATCCACGTCTACGTAGATGAGGATGTGAAATTAACAGAACCGTTAGGTTTGTGATTATCACAACTATGGTTTTACACTCAAAGGGTTTATCTAAGAAGAGGTCACTTACACTTTTTTAGCTAAAATAAAGGTTGTATTTATCCTTTATAATTTTTTTATTAAAGTAGATACAGCAGAAATTTATTTTAAACAAAACTGACAAAAATGTGATCATTCAATTAATAATAAATTATATAAGGCGACACTAAAAGTAACGTCTACTGTCAATCGATACTCTGGCATGCTAAAGTGGGAGATTATAACCATACCAAAGCCGACGATTTTTTCATTTGGTCAGAGTATGTGTCGGTCCTTTATTTGAATGGTAATTTTATGGAGAATTCAACAATATGACTATTAATTACGTTGATTTTTTTAGCGCTCTCTAAATGGATAAAAAACTGTTACGTTTTGTAAAGTGTGACAATTCATTTGAACGATATTTTTATTAGCGATTTATGTATAGCGTAAATTTATTATTTTAGTTCATTGAGATTATAATTTGTATGTCCGAACGTTAGAAATCTGCACGATTTTTCATGTAGGTAATATTAAAAACATTATGTTTTGTTATATTGTGAATTACATTCCTAATCAAAATAGCTTTCAAATAAAGTGCCACACTTTACAGTAAGTAAGTTTTTTTTATCCCGCTAGAGGTCGCTTAAATAAAAATTAACCAATGAATAGTCATGTTGCTGAAATTTCTAAATTCTAGGGGTTTAAACCATGTAGGCTAAAAATATTAATTAAAAGTGTCCCCTTTGAAAATAATATTACCATGTCTTTTTGATTTTTCATACTATTTACTGGAAGGTCTTTACAAAAACATACTACATATTCCTTAGACCAAAATAAGTCGATTTAAGTAAATTTCAAGTACAAAGTTGCTCAGGTTGGTCGCTAGACATATTTCTTATTTGTATTCATCTTTTAGTAAATAAATTTTTCTCTAAAACCTACACTCTAAATTATTAAATTTTAAATGTGCGAGTAATAAAAAATTTAAATTCTACGCCAATGGATTAATATTAGTGAATAATTTTGATACATTCTTTTTTTTGTCAAATAAAACTGTTAACATAATAAATTTAAGCAGAATCGCATGAGCCGTTTTAAAATTATAAAGGAGAAACGAACTTTGTACTGAGGTAAGTTTACTTAAATCGGCTTATTTTGGTTCAAGAAATAAAAGCCATTCGCACCACTGGTAATTAAAAAATAAGCGAAGGTTAAAATGACATTGCTAATGGAAAAATGTCATTTTAAGCTTGGCTTATTTCTTAATGACCTGTGGTGTAAAGGGACCTATGTGGTATGTTTTTATAAATACATTTTGCAGACACCCTGCATATTATGGGTGGCAAGATTTCAAGTTGACACCCTGTATATCGATTGTATTTCACTTTAAAGTTGTTCTGTTTTGTACCTTTAGACTTTGGATTTTTTTTTTTTTTAATGTAAACAATTCTTTTCGTATTAAAGCAAAATAAATTGAATAAAAGGTACCTACAAAAATTTAAGTAGTTATACAATAACTATTAGGAGTATTTATTTATAGTTGAATAAATACATATATCCCAGAGTCTTCTTCTTTGATAAAGATATATTATTAAAATAAGGTTAATTTTGTTTAAATTATTGTGCTCCCTTCTATATTTGTTTTTTCCTTAGCGTATGTATATATATTATACTTAAATAATAATTTTCTGCGTATGCCCATGCCACCACATAATTTCAGTCACCTGGTGACCGAGGCGCATGCGCACTTTCACGAAATCTTAAAAGACTTCACATGACTTTTATATACTTCATCATGACTTCCATGGACTACACCCTGACTTCCATGGACTTCTTCCTGACTTACATGGACTTCATCATGACTTCCATGGACTTCATCATGACTTCTATAGACTTCCTCCTGACTTTCAAGACTTCTCACTAACTACAAAGAACTTCCATGGACTTCCATTTATTTCCAAGCGACTTTCTTGAGTCTGTACACCAGACTTCCTCAGCGGTTTGCCCCTCGAATTATTAGCTTAGTTAGGGACATTTTAATTAATTGATATTAATATGACGAAAAAGTATTATCATTGATGACATAATTTACATTTAATATTAAATTCTGTATATATTTATGTTTCCGCCATCACAGTAGTAATCACAGCCTTAATCCGTCCCTGCGTACCCGCTTCTCGAATACCGTAAGCACTTGCGCTTATGTAGCGGACGAGAAGAATAAAGAAAGCACTTTCTTTGCAAATAAATGAGGAAATATAGAAAAGCGGTTTCGAAAAAAATAGAAGAATATTATTTATAAGTAATTTCTCCGGTGTTGCACTCGTAAGAGCAATCGACGTGGCCAGACGAGACCAAAGACCGAAGACCGACCGGCTTTTGACGACATCACAGAGAGAGAAAGTGATGGAGGATCGTCGATGCCCAAGGCAGAGCTACACGATCATCATTTTATGAATGTTTTTTTAATTTTGTGATTATTAATACAATGCAAATTATTTTTTACAATTACCAATTGTAAAAATTATTAAAATTACATTCTTTGACCAAAAAATGGAGGTACAAAAAAAAATTAAAAAAAAACTAAATGTTACAAATACAACTAAAAACTGTCAACACACGTTATAATGGTTATAAATACTTACTGTCCGCATAGCTGGGCGGCAGATATCTCAAAAACTTCTGTCCCCTGTTCCCCCATTTCGGATGTCGCACGTTATTGCACTCCCCCGAAGGTTTCCTGAACTTCATAGCGGGACAATCAATAGGCACTTCAGGCTGGCATAGCGTGCTCGACCATTTCCCAGACACTGTCGCTTGTCTTTCGATGGCCAAAGCCTTTTGGACGATGGTTCTGAGATCATCTGGTAGCGTTCGAGTGTACTGAGTTAAATTGTACTCGAAAGGTTTCAGACTAGATTGGGGGGACACTAAGCTTGGCAGTAGAGATAGTAACGTAACTAGAGATATCCTGAAACAAGGAGAAAATATTTTTTATCGAAATTAAAAGATAAGTATTTAAACGCAAATTGTCACAAATCATAAAATATTCATTGGTTTGTTGGATTTTTTCTAGCCAATCTTAGGTTATCGTCAAAATGCTTTAAGGTAAGGCCGGTAAGGGTGATAATTAGAGAACACGTCACTCCGAAAATAAACTAAAAATGTATTAACATAAAGAAATATAACAATAAAATTAGTTTTATAGACTACAAACGCTTCCTCTTCTCTCTCTTCTTTCCACTCTCCCCCAACTGACATTTCAGTCCTACTAACATTTAAAAAAAATCAATATAGGTAACCCAATAAACAAAATTTACAACATCTGTTGCTAGTCTTGTAATGCGTGGAGTCTGCAAGGATCTATTCTATGTCCTTTATTCTACACCATTTATACCCAATTATATTACTTTTTTTACTCTACTTGTCAAAATCAGATCAAGTTTGAATAGTGAAATTGATATAGTGAAATACGTCGCCGTTAGGGTTACCAGACGTCAAAAGAACTCCGGACATGTCCGAAATGGGCCGTCAATTATAAATTGTCCAGAATAAGTTTAGTTTAGTAAATATTTCAGGAGTTGAAGTTTTATTATTTTGTCTGGGCTTTTAATGAAATGTTTTAAGTTTTCTTTAGACATGCGGAGATTGTATTTTTAAATCACGTTCAATAGATTATTTAAATGCACTTAAAAAAAATGGCTACAATTAGCTTCGTTACAAAAAGATACGGCTTTCAAATTAAAAAAAATATTTCTAAAACAATTCTTCACCAGCAGTCAACATCAAGTAAGTCGAGGTTACTCGAGCTGAAACATTTAATTGTTTTGTGCGTAGGTCAATCACATAAACTGTTCATAGACCTTTTACGAGTCACCAATAACATTGTATTGCGTTATTTTTTGCGACATAGCACACGTGTGAGTACTGACATTATAATTTTAAGAAATATTCAGTGGTTCAAATTATAAGGATGGGCGCCCTATTACCACCGCCTAAATAGATTGTAAAATGAGTTTTATATACAGGGTGAATCCTACTTAATTTAACTGTGTATAAAGTAATTTAACCAAATAACTGCCCTCTAAACACACTTTTCTTATAAAAAAACAATATATTCACAAAGTTCATTTGTTTCATAATTTACTATACTAAATAGATTAAATTCACTAGGTACTTTCAGATAAACACGCTACTGAAATCACGATCGAATTACAACACAGCAGATGATGATTTATTAGAAAAACCAAAACAAAAGTAAAAGAACACACCGATTTATTTATTTAATTTCAATACACAAGTCCAGATCCGGATTTAGATTTTTTAATTTTGTTTCTTTCCTATTTTTGAGTTTTTATTTTAATGACTTCTATGTACGAAAGAATTTATTCTAAAGTAAAAATTTCCATTTTGTCAACTTACTACATAATTTTTAAAAGAGAAACTACACAAGTAAGAGATAAATTAGAAAATTTTACTCTTTATTTATAACATCATGTTGGCAAATGCGTCTCATTAAAAGATTTTTTTCTACGACTACTTAGGAAAGTGACATCACTATTAGTGTATATCACACGCGCGTGAATAATAATCTTTCCGCATCAGGTCTCAAAATATGCGAGATGCTTCATTTCTATTTTTCTAAGAAATGTTTACTACATTCATTAGACTACTTCGATTTTACTGGTAAATAATAAATGCTTTGAACATCTTAACCGATGATACCCCAGGGGTCGACAATGACCTCCATATGTGCGAAAAAAAGAATTGGGGTCTTTGAGATGTAAATTTTGATGTAAATTTTGACTTTCTATTATTGAATTAACCCACACACAAAGACGATTTATTGCTTAATTTTTATCTGAAAACAAACTTATTTTCCCAATTTTATTAACAGACTTCAAAAAATGAGGAGGTTCTCAATTCGTCGTAATATTTTTTTTTATGTATGTTCAGCGATAATTCTTTAACACGGTGTCCGATTTCAATGATTCTTTTTTGTTAGTAAGGGGGTACCTCAGGGGTGGTCTCATATACATTTTGTCCAAATCTAATAACTAGGTCCATGAGAAAAATCCTCAAACTCTTCATTTTTTATGTATGTTTAGCGATAATTCTTTACCACCTTGTCCGATTTCTAACGTTGAAGAAACAGAGGAACAAGAGGAACTGATCGAAATAAGCACTAATGATGAATTTAAGGTGCAGTTTAGAAACAGATATTAGCTATTCTGGCCACAAAAAATATACCTGTCGATTATTCCGCATTATGGAATATCGCGAGAAAGTTTTTATTTGCTTTTCCGTCTTCTTATCCAGTAGAATTTTCTCAGGGCGGTGGCCACTCTTTTAACAAAAGAAAAATAAATAAACTGGGCATCATTAACTATAAGGATATTTAAGAAAAACCTCACTAAATAAGTGTGTTCAATGAAATTCAAAAATATTTTTTTCTAAAAGCTAGAACAAAATCTAAATCAAAAATATTTTTTTGAAATTTTTTCTTTTCAAATTTTCCTACAAGAATTTAAAAAAAAATACAAAAAAGATCAACCAAATTTGAAACGCGCGCCACAGTGATTTTTAAACATCGTCATAATGAAGAAATTTTGCCATTTTTGTATTATGAGAAATGAAAACATATCACAGATTCTTCAATGACCAATAGAAATAGGCGCTTTATTATGACGCGGTAAAGGCGCAAAAATAAAGCGTTTTAAATAATTGATTTAAAAGTGAACTTTTTAAAGTACTATAACTTTATTATTTATTATCTATGTATTTAAAATATTTATTGCATGAAAAAAAAGTTTTTTGTGCTTAAACAGTTAATAGCAATAGATTCGTTAAATTCGTTTACACTAAACACGCCCATTGATGACAAATTTTGAAAATGTATTATCAAAGCACCAGGTTCATCCCTTATACTAAAAAGCCTTTATTTTTACCTAATTATTATATGTAATATGTAGGTACTAATTTTATTTTGGTTCGTTTTAATTTCAGTTTCATTAATGTCTAAAAATTAATGTGTTTTCTTTCTTCTACACCTCACTGCACATTTGAAGAGACAAAAAAGTTTGGGAACCACTTATCTAAACGTTTATTGAAAAGTATAGATATTTTTTTCACTGTTTTTCACAAAAATGCACTTCATCGTATTTTTCTACATAAAATTAAGTGACAAATAGAAAGGGAGATTATGTTAAAATAACATCCGGTTCGCCATATTGTTTACCCAAAACGACCAATTTTTCGAAACGCTTTTTATTCGGCTATATCCTGTTCAATATTACAGATTAGTGAATGTAACTAATAATTCAGCAGCTTGTTGTATTAACTCATTCGTGTTAATTGACTCAATAGTATACCTATTAACAAATCATTTAAACATTTTTGGTTGTACCGTTTTTAATGTAGGTACTTTCATTACCAACATTACCATTGATTAGCAATATTGTTAAACATTTAGGTATACTAAAGATGCCCAATTTGGTGTCAATTGTGAAAACGAAAGTTGATGTAGATTGACACTAATTGTGTAACTTATGTTTCATTAGGAAATAAAATATGTTTTTATAATAAATAATTTATATAAATAACTAAGTAGTATAGGTTATGACTTGCTTCCTGTTAATTAAGTTTTATGAAACTTTCAAATAACTATGAATTTTGCTAAAAATCGTTACAAAAACTGTATTAGCTGAAAGCCAAGACAAAAAAAAAACAAAGCAATTCGATTTAAAATAATGAACCATGAACTAATCAATCGATTATAGTGATTAAGGAAGATTCAATTAAATAATTTATTAATACATGACACGATCAGATGTTTTAATAATTTGTTTATCGCTTTAATACAATAGTTATATGATTGTAAATATCACGGATTTTCCACGTATAGTGAAATTCATCAATAAACGGATGTACTTCATTATTATTTCACTACATTTGTCACTGCTTCGATTTGCATAAATATATCTTTAGTAAATGATTATTCACATTTTCAATTATTTTAATTCCTCTTTTGTTTATACCGGATGGCTCTTACAAGTCACTTCGACTACATGTTGCTTGGAGATTTACTTATTTAATTGAGTTTGTTAGCTCACTTTTAAGGAAATTTTTAGGTATTTCAAATCAATTCAGTTGTCATGAATATTTTGTCACCAGTATTTATCAAAAAATTATGAAGATTTTTTTATTAATGTGGGATACGAAATTAATTTTTCTAAAAGTATTAGCGAAAGGAGTGATTGTTTTCACACGCACTTTGAGTTAGTAAGCTGTGATTTAAAAATTAAATAATTTTTTGCATATCGGTTTTAATTTCTTGTAACTTATCCCATGTTTGACTGCTATAAATAATAGCACTATCGTCAGTGAAATATAACATCTCGCCAGATGTTTCTAAATTATGTATACCCTTTACGTATAAGGAAAAAGCACCGGTTCTAAACTAGTACTCTGAGGCACACCGTACTTATTATGCAAGAAAACATCACTGTAATCATTATTTCTTTAAGATAGCTTGTCATTAAATTGTGTCTAATAGTGGAGCATGTGACACAATGACAATGTCAAATGCTTTGGCTAGGTCTAAAAATATGGTAATTGTAACAATGCTATTATCTACCAAATTATATATTATTGACGTTAGTGTTATAGCATCTTCTTTAGACAAACTTTTTCTAAATCCATATTGATTACTCTGTTCATAAAATTACATTTAGTGTTTGAGTTAGAGTTTATTCAAATACTTTAGTTAAACAAGTTATTAAAGAAATCCGTCTGTAGTAGGAAGTGTGTTTGAGATACCTTTTTTGTAAACTGGAATTACAATAGATTTTATTTATTATAACGTTTCAGCTTTTATACTGTCATTGACTAGAGATGCCTTGTTTGGTTTTAACGAGTTATTGATAGTTTTCATATTCCTTAATAAACAGGATGGTCCATAAACGACGGACT